ACTGGTTGGTTTTGGGGTGACATTTGTTGAGAAGTTTTGCCTCTGTGTGTAGTGTAAGGCCTACTTCCTTGCTTTCTGTATCTACTGTAATTTGTTTAGTTGTTTTTCCATTTATGATACTGAACTTGTCACCAGTACAATGTCATCCGCAAACCGGAGTTCGGTATGTGTATCTATATTTTATTCCTTAGCATTTATGCCTTAGCACTACATTAACAGGACATTGCTGTCCAAAAAGCTAGCATCTGTTCTTAAACACTACTCACAGAATAACTTGTCATCTGAATATCAACAAAAAAAGATTAGCTAATCTACATAAAAACATAATTTAAACCTTGTGTTTTTGTATTGTATGGGCATTCTTATTGACGTGCAAATTAACCAGCATCATCTGAAAACAGACAGACCTGGTTTTTACCAAATAATAGATTTGTCTTAAACAGTTGTATTTTTCTTTCCTCGTTGTCATGCCACTCTTTTACAAACATACACCTAGGGTTACTTTGTAAATTCTAAAATGATGTAATGATTGTATGCTGACTAATTGCAAAAACGATTTGCAATTTTCATCCCCAACGAAACTGGGAATATATACTCCAACTATCTGAAAGCAAAAGTTCTCCTATACAGTCGCTTTACAAGACTAAAGCACCAGTCTGGTGGTAATTTTGTGACCGGAACACACAAATGACGCGATAACACCTGAGGTATTAATTTAAAAACTCCATTTTCAACAGGTACCTCATAGTAATGTAATTTTGATCTATCCTCTAGCAGTTGTCAGCATTCAGGATGAGCTGCAATTCCATAATTGTTAAAAGAGATGGTGCAAATAGCTAATCACCTGATTTGGTCCTTTTTGTATCCCTTCATCTGTCCAACAATTGACCTGCGAAGAAAATCCTTCTGCATGGACTCAAGCTACATTTCCTGCAAGTCTTAAGAATATTTGGCCTTCGAAAGTCTTCAGCTGGTGTTTACAGGCATGCCCTTATTGCAACAAACTCTTCTATTTTAGTTTAAAAAGCCCATTCTTTCCTTTAAACCTCATGACCCACAGTGATATGAAACATTGTGCATCTTTCAATTCTGCAGGAAAATGAATATGAGTGCACTGTTTGCGATGGATTCTTTAATGTTTATATGCATTATAAAATTATGTATCTTCAAAAAAATAGTTTCTGTCACCATGCCAACAGTCAAGTATTGTAGTTTGTAAACAGTCAGTAGACTACTGTACATACAGCATTCATTGAATCGAACCACTTGTTTTTACAAATATACTACTACTTATGTACTTAATTGTTCAATTTTAATGGTAATTTCTGTATTAAAGTTGGTTTTTTTTAATTATCATTATTTTATACTTTTAATTAATTATGTAACTAGCATTGGTATTATAACAAATGTGTATCATGCAAAATCACAATAAAAGTATCTTTTAAATTCTGTTTCTTTTTGTAACTTTTTGTATTAAAATTTAAAAAAATTCCACATTGACAGGTTCTGAATATGGATTGCCTGAGGTTTTTAAACATGATATTCGATATTGATAATGCATTGCAAATATAATACAATCTTGGAAAAAATGTACTGTTTATAATATTAAATATGTAAGGATTATATAATCATGAATAGAAGTCAGTGTAATTTTCTTTTATTCATTCATATGATCTGTCAGCAATCTATATGAACTGAGTAAAACTGAACTATTTAGTAAATTAAGATGCAATGTCTGCAGTATCATGAGCTAAAAAATGATTAATTCATATATTTAAGTATTAAATTTACAATGGCCAATTGAATATTATGCCTTTTCTGTGTAATATTTTGCATTTAAAAACTAGAAATTGCTGGTAATTAATATTAGGATTTCTGTAGGATAACAACATTTTTCAATCTGCACCTAATTGAAAGTTAGTAATTGAATGAGCTATTCAAAATTTTGTTTATTTTTTGAGGTAGAGTATTTTCCATTTACAGATAGTGCATTTTTAATTTAATGTGTCACAATATTGGTGTAAAAATATGCTAAAGTTATAATATGTGAAGTGTTGGAAGCCATTTTAGAGAGTAAAATATTAAAATGGTGATAGTAGATTTTTTCCCGAGGGTTGTTCCCCTGGTGTAGTAGTTAAATTGTCACGTGTTACAGATACAGTTGGAAATGAAATAAATTTCAATTTGTTTGCAAATCATGGCATCAGGATGATCATTTCAAGTATAGAAGATTGAATGGAGAGAAAACATCAATAATAATTTTACAGTTTTTACATTTACGATGTACACAAAGATTAATGACATTATTTGCCACAAGTGGAGCTTTCCCACAAATACTTGTGATTACATCTGCGTGACAACTGGTTAGTTAATGGGACTAAAATCATCCAAATGTAGATCCCTCTGCATTATTTTTGAAAAAAACTTCAAATGTACAGTATATTTTTAATGACAATATTATCTTTACAAGAGGAACATCAGACATTTTTAGGCTCCATCATCTCATTACGTAGTACCGAGAAATATATTTTTCAGTTAATTATAAATGATTGAAGAAGCCTAAAAACTATAAATAAATAACTTTATAGACATGAATTTCAAAAGCAAAATTCATTCCTAATGTCTATTGCCTAGTCTTAAATATCCACTTTTATACTCTTAACGATATTAGTAAAACTCACCCAGATAGTTGATACGGTGCTATCAGCAGTAAATGTATTAAAATATGTTTATTCATATCACTGGGGCTTCATATCTCGATATATTACAATCCGTACTTTGAAAACCATGAGCTTGCCCATGTTTCTTACCCGGTTCAAGTGGTCCACAGATAAATCATGTATAAAATATCTCTTACCATTGTATTAGAAAATTGTTTTCTTGAAGATAAAGTTTTGGAGCCTAGACCCACTCATACCAAAATACAGTAATTGTTAATAATAATCATCAAGTATTTATGAATAATCATAAAGCCGGTATTTAAAAATGGGCCTAGCCTATTAGAACTGTCATGTGTGTGAGCGGTTCCTTGACAAAACGGCAATAAGTCAAAACGGCAAAAAACCAAAACGGCAACACTTTTTGACCAGAACGGCAATAGACCAAAACGGCGATAAGTCAAAAAGGCAAGACCAAAACGATGCTAAACAATTTGTCATGAAAGTAAAAACGCGAAAAAATAAACTAATTATAAACATGAAAGTACTACGATTAAATACCGGTACGGTAAAAAATGAGGCTAAATAACAGCAGCAGCAGCAGCAATAATATCATTAACAATAATAATAACAATAGTAATAATAATAAAATTAATAATAAATAATAATAATAATAATAATAATAATAGTAGTAATAATAATAATTAATAATAAATAATGATCATCATACTAATTCAATATTAAGAAGATTCGGGTGGGTGGGGGGAGCGGAACAATATAAACCAGTAAAACATCTAAACTAATAAAAATTTTAAATTCAGACAAAATGTGGCAAAACAATTTGTCATAAAAGTTTAAAAATGCGAAATAATAATAATAATAAACATTGAAAGTGCGAAAAAGAGCCCATGGCAATATTCGATTTTGCGTATCGGTACAATTTTAAAACGATTCAAAAAATTATAAACTGCGGCCCACGCCCGGTGGCGCTTGTTAGTTTTGGCATTGATTTTGCTCCTTTTTGCCATTTTGGTGTGTGCCGTTTTGGTACTTGTCATTGCCGTTTTGCTTCATTACCGTTTTGGTCATTTCCGTTTTGGTTTATTGCCGTTTTTATGATGTGTTACCCTTTCCTTATTTATATATGATGAAATAATTAACCTTATTATATATATAAATAATGTTTGGTTACCCTTTCATTATTTATATATTTATAATGAAATCAGTAAACTAATTATATACTGTATAAATAATGAAAACATTAACACAATTATTTACATATAGTCCTTTAGATGTAAATGCGTTATATATAAATAATGATGATCTATTCAATTAAATGTTAAATAATGAATTATATATAAATAATTGTGTTATATAATAAATTTACACTTGGCGCCTCATACGTTTTGACCTTTTACCGTGAGAGCTCCTGGTGCAGGTAAGGATTTTTGACCTGCTGTCTCTGGGAAATGTGTCACAACTATAAAAGCTTCATATGCAAACGAAATATAGCTTAAATTTGAAAGTACTGTATCCAGGGGTGAGAGTGCATGGGACTGTGGCCCAAGAAAAAAATAAAAATAAAGAAAACGGAGAGAGAGAGAGAGAGAGAGAGAGAGAGAGAGAAAAAGAAAAGAGAGAAAGATTTTTTAATTTAAATTCTATCAGTGCCTTTGTGTGGCGTCAAGCATTGACGCCACACGAATTGAACACGAATCACAAACACCACCCCCACCCACCCTCCTCCCCCGCTCGGAATGAAACAACTATTATGACATTCTTGTCCTTTAACAACTAGCCAATATTAACGTCACTTAAACGTGCATTCAATAATCAACGACATATAGTATGACCTATGATTTCATACTCCATCCTTTGAAATGTTGCCATTTAATATAATAATGATGATGATAATAATAATACGACGATGAACTGTTGAGGACAGCAACAATAATGATGGCAAAAGCGCACGTACCCATTCTACATAATCCATATGACGGTAAAGCAGAAGAATAGGCCTAAACCACAGCACACAGCGTGACTACATCCATCGCAAAGAGGCGCTTATACTCATTCATTCATTCATTTAATTGGTCAATATCAACATATACAAGGAAAAAACAAATAAAACCACTTATAAAACCAGTTAAAACAGTAATTCAATTTTTTTTTAATATGTAAAAATTCTTTAAGAAATATTTTAAAAATCGAAAAAATGGGTTAAAAATTCAAAGATAAAAGGGTTAAAAATACAGTGCATGTGTATGATGAACAATATGAAACTGCAATTGTTAAAATAAACGACGGACGCTGACATAATTTGAGACAGCAGATTACATGTATTCATACCACTGACTGAAACGCTCACATATTGTAGTGGAGCTATGGCTAAACCCATAGTTCACAGCTTGGAAAACTCATAATACTGCAAATAATTTTGAAATTAGGTTTGCTGCGTAGCAATGTAAACGCAAAACAAACAAATAGACAAATAATAACAGTGCTCGAATAGGAACAAAATGCTATAATCGTATCAAGCATAGATATTCAATAAAATGTTCGGTTATTGAACGATTCAAACCTGCAACGTCTCGCAATCATACCTTTTAGAAAACATTTTATAAAAACAGTGATGCTGCAATTTGCTTTAAAAATAATACAATACACTACAATAAACATTTGTTTCTGGAAATAAACAAAATACAATTACACAATTCATGTCTTCTAAATAAGTAGGAAGAAATGGAAGAAACTGAAGTTAAAAAAAACTTATATGATGACCTAAGATGGAGTGCCTGTGTTTGAGACGACATTTTTCAATCCGGCAGATTCCTCATCAACAATTATTTATGATACATTACAAGATTTAAAAAAAATGAATTTTTATTTTAAAATGTTTTGATGAGACTTACTTAGTTGATACTCTATAGGCCTTCGGAAAAGAGTGTATTAGGCCTACTAAACAATAGGAATCAACACAAAATAATAGTTAACAGTGTCGTATTAAAAACAAAGGCTGTGCAGATAATCATATAAAGAATATACGACATGCCAGTTAAACGAAAAACGAAATTGCATAATGGATGTGTACCAGTGTTAGCCGGCAAGAGAGATGTAGACGCCCCCTCTTTGCTAAAGTAATTTAAAAAAGAATCCCATCTCAGAAAGAAAAACATGGCCTTCTAATTAAGATAGTATAGGCTTCTTTTCGATGTAGTACTTTTATTATTCAAACCCATCCAGTGGTCCTAAAAAAGAACCACAGGTTTTCTATTCGAGGTTTTACGGTATCTTTGAAATATAGACTTGAATAGCTTAGAAGATGCTTGCATTCTCAGACCAAGGTTTTGGGTTCAATTCCTGTAACAGTAGGACTTTTTCTCACGAGTAAAATCAATTCCACTCCCAAGACTCATAAAGCATAGACATTTTGCTAATAAAAGCATCACATTATTTCATTTATTTAAGAGGGGCCCTGAATATCAGGCGACCTTCTATGAAACGCTAGAAGGGTCACCCTCTATGAATATGGTTTTAAAACTATCTAACGAGCTTTACACTGTTTGCACTGGTTAAATTTGTATGTTGTTTTATGCCAGCTTTCACATTGGACGGAAAAACCACAATTTTTGGATGGATTGTTGTTTAGTCGAGACTTAAATCCAACGACTGAGTCTCCCGTCCAATGTGAAAGTTGGCTTGTAACGTTATCCAGGATGTCCGACCTAATACCGTACCGTATACAGTATGTCATCTCACTATGCCTCATAAATATTACGGCTGTTTTCTCTAAATGTTGGTTATTTTTACAAGATACAGGTCAACTTTATTGTAAAATAAATATATGTTATATCTTAACTGTAGAATCATAAATAAACATAGTTAAATAATTCCTTAGTACGCAAACAATTCTTACATTAGTAGTTAAATATTTTTACATTTTCGTACCCCAGATTTGTCACAGCAACTCTTCTTGGGTTCTGAGATGCCATGCACAATCCCTGAGGATTCTTTACCCCGTCATTTTGTCTGTCAATTCTCTTAACAAATTCTCCCATTTTTGTAAAAAGCTGAAGTTTATGTTCACTTGCCACAATTATGTTTTCATCGTGATCTACTAATACGGCACATGGAAATATCACATTACCATCTTCATTGCCTTGTTGTACTAAAACTTTAATGAATGAACCTTCACTGTCGAACATTTGTATTCTGTGATTCCATGTGTCCGCTACAATAAGATTACCCTCCTTTGTTATGGTAACATCCTTTGGGCTACTAAATTGGCCATTTTCACTGCCTTTAACTCCAATTATGCTAATTTGTTGATCATTAACTAAATTGACGGTAAATATGCAATCTTTTAAAAAATCTGCAACATAAACAGTATTGGTGCTTTCATTAACATCTAAACCACATGGATACATCATCAAATTTTTACCGATTGATTTTATCATGTTACCATCTGGTTTGCAGATGTGTATGCACTTGTTAGCTGTGTCGCTAAACACAATGTGGCCACTCGTTTTTAATTGGTACACTCTATGAACACTAGCATTTTGTGAGATATTTATTATACTTTTTACATTTGTTGATTGTTCTATTTTAAGCATCTGACTTGACAGAAAACAGATTAACAGATATCTGTCTTCAAATATTGCAATATCTGTTACCATTTTATTAATCTCAATAGTGTCTTCCAATGATCGGCGCTCTACATTTATGATGAGCGGAGAGCCTTTGATTGGTTCTTCATTTAAAGTGACATCTAGTTTCCAAACACCAGGACTGGAACACATCGCTGTAATAATACATTCTCCATTACTTTGTTGCTCTACTTTAGGGCTAATAGTAGACGTTTCTTCGATTACTTGTGTCAAAGTCGCTGTAATATTGCTAGCAATATCGTCAATTTTGGCACCTTTATTTAATTTAACATCAAACGTCTGTCCCTGTGTAACAGTCAACGAATCTATGGTGAACTTGGTATCAGCTATTGGGTGTTCTACAATACGTCCAATGTTCTTTAAAAACTCGTTTTCCTGAATAAAATGTAACTCTCCATTCTCTTTTGGATCAATATTTTTTGCCAACTCCATCATTTTTTCTTGAAGTGCCATCACTGCCTCATGACTTGATAACAAAACAGTTGGTTTTTCACTTGTTAATAACTGCGACATGAAATTCCATTTTATGTTCATATCAGATAAGATTGCAGTTAGCTTATCAATTTGACTGCTGTTAGTCTTTTTCTTTTTAGTGTACAACACATCAAGATCTTTAAGTAATCTTTTTTCCATTTCGTTGATCATGTTTTTCATTTCGGCAGCAAATGTATTGATATCAGTCTTACATTTCACGTTGTTTTTCTCAAGTTGTATGGCATTCTGCTGAACTTTTTCCCAGCTACTCTTTACCGATGTTCTGAATTCTTCCAAATCTCGCTTAGCATGAACTGTAGTTTTCATGAAGATTTTGAAAGCATCAGAAATGTCAATAAATTGGTGTTCCTTGTGATCTGTAATAGCACAGCTTGTGCAAATCGGAGTTTTACAAACCTGGCAATAACACTCTAAAACCTTGTTTTTGTGGAGTGAACAAACGCGGTCATTCAGTGAAAGCTCAAGACATGTCACTGAATTGTTTGTATCATCACTTGGACGAATAATATGATACGTTAATTGAGGAAATATTTCATGTTGCTCTTTGCAAGAACAGCAAAAATACTTCACACAATCTTGACAGTGAAAATTGGCATTATTTTTACCACACACGCACCGTACCTTGCCTTCTTTCTCCACTTGTATACCAGATTTCAGTAAATTTATTATAAATGTATTTGGCGGAAGATTTTGGAGTTCTTCCTCTGGAATTCTGTATGTCTGAAAGCAGGTAGGGCAGGCCAGTTCTTCCTTTTGTTTAAACACATTCTGAAGACATACCAAACAGAAGGCATGGAGGCATGGCAATGTTGTTGGTTGTTGAAGTCTTCTAGAACAAATTGCACATTCCAAAAACTTTCCTTCTAGGTCTTCGAAGAATTGACATAGATTACTTTCAGCCATTCTTTATTTCCTAAAATATAGATACCGTTAATGATTAGAAATCAGTATGAAATTGCTTTGAAAAAAGGGAAACAAGCAGTCCGTGATCACCGATTAATTGAATAATTACAATGATGACTTGCATATTCGTTATAATTTTTTTTAAGGTTTTATTTTATAATATGTTTTACTGATGACTGATTATTGATATTAATTATTAATTGGGATTTAAAAAAATTATTATTTCATACTTTTCATCTGATCATTTCCATGACCTTCGCATTTGTATTATATGTGATATTATGATAAATTATTGATATACTGTAATGGATTAACCACTTACCACTTATTCTTTGTGTTGAAGAGTGGCCAGTAAGCCAAATGAAACTACTGGTAGGGCCTATTGTATTGTATATTCACTAACCTCGAGTTTGTAAATACTTTAAAAAATACTATAAAATGTTATACCTCCATGGTCACTATAGGCTTGTTCCATTATCGATAAAGTAGAGCCCTTCCTTTAGGACACCCCTATTGGGACACTTCTCTGTGAAACGAGGAGAACTTTATCTTTACACTACGGCCAACACCTGTTAAGATAACGCCACATTAAATGGGACGGGTACTCTTTCGTTAAATTGTCAAATCTATACAATTTAACCACTATTAGGGAACTCTTAAAGCAATATTTGGTCATTAATATTGCATCGGAATCAAGAAACAACATCGGGAACATTTTTAACTTTTCAACTTTTGTATTTTAATTACATATATGCTGATTTGAAATCATAATGAATTATTGTTTGCATTGCAAATTATGTTATAAATTAGTTATAATTTAACTCATTAGGTCAATGTATTAGGAGTTTATGTCACTGATTTAAAACTTTCCGTCATCTGACTGAACGGTTCACTGCACACCTTAACACAGTAAATGAGTCTAAACGAGACCCCATTTTCTAAAAAAAAATCGACTAGTATATACATACAGTAAATTGAATGGTTTCATTGATTGACAATCTGGGGTGATTAGATTATAAAACTAGGTATTATAGGTTGTATAATCATCTATATATTTCTACAGTCTATGCAATTAAGTGATCATTTTTCTTTCAAAGTTGACAACCTTTTATGATTTTGTATACAAAAGGCTAAAATTAAGGGGGGTTTTTTTTAGTAGGCCTTGCTTGCTTCTATTCATAACTCGGCATCCATAGGTCGCTGAACTTTGAAGTAAAAGGCAACTAACTGCAGCTCATAAATTAAACTTCCTTGTCATGTAAGTCTTATGTTTTTTTTTTATTTAGAAGACCGGGAATGATCCTTTTTTTTTTTTTCAAACGTTTCTATTTAAATCGTTTTTAGCAGTTGACAGAATGACGTCACAAATTTAGTGTAGTTTGTGGTGGGTGCGTTCATGCATACCCCTATTAAGGGAACACATTTAGTCACGAATGTGTCCCCATGATAGGGGTTCTATTGTATTATGTGATTTATAGACCTACATTTTGCTTAAGTTTTAATCAGAGTAAATAAAGAAATTAATAACACCAAACAGGTGAAAAAAAAAGAAAAAAAGTTGATCCACAACCCCTGTCCAAGTTTACACACACCTTTCAAATACTACTAAGGAAACAGGCGTGGCGTGGCTGCGTTGCGTATATTACTATGGAATTACAGTATTAACCAATCTATGGCTAGGATGCATGATGACAGCTCGGCCTGATTATATACTTCAATAGTCCCTAATTAATTACTAGCTTCATCAGCTCTCGATGGTATTTTAAAGTGTGACCACATTATCTGGTAAATGTAACAACTATAGTTTTTTTTACCTTTACTGCAAAGTCGTCGTTTTCTTCGTCTAGCCGACCTTGTTTTATCTGAGCCACGGAAACACTTGCGTATTTATTTCCTGGTTTGAAATAAAATATGAAAATGATCAACGCAAACGTCGTTGACGTCGACATTATTTCAACTTGTCGTAAGAATCGTAAGAAACGTATGAAACGTAAGAAATTCTGATCTTTACGTCGACAGGAAACCAGGCTTTACGCAAAGTTGAAATAATGCCGACGTCAACACGTCAACGACGTTTGCGTTGATCGTGTTGGGCCGCAGATAAACAAGCAATTTTCAGCCGCTTACGAAAGTTGAACTTACGACGTTGAACTCCATCCAGAGTCCAAAACGAGCGCTTGCGACTGTTACGTTGAGTTGAATTTTTCTTGCGATACGACGACATAAAAATGACGTAATTTGTAGTCACTTACGATTGGCTGCCTTTCCCACTAATCCGCCCTTGTTACCCAGGGTTTTCGCGCGAATTTGCCTCTATCTCTTTATATTATGAGCTGCATTGTAAATGTTAGCAAAACGTCTAACATTAATAACATGAATTATTGCAAAGAAGTTAGGCCTACATTATTAAAATTGATGTTTGTAAAATTCATTTTGTTTCACAAAATAATGATGCTCCGAACATTCCCTGAACATTCGTGTTTCGTAGTACCACCAAATTTTAATTCTGGGAAATTGAATTAATTGGCCACGGCTTCAATGTGCTTGTCACCCAATATACTTTGAGAGATAGATTTAGGACCAAAAAAAATCGGTACGCGGGAAAGTTGGATTGGTGGTAAACTTTAGCCCTAATTGACAAAATAGATATAAAACGGTCCTCACTCCTGCTGTATATATGGCCCCCTTGGTTTGTGATAAAATTTGTTATTTTCATTTTTACTACTCTTCTCATTGAAATTTTGCAACGACCAACTAATTTTTTGCAGTATTATTCATTATACCATCATTGTCGTCATTACCATAATCAAACGGTGCTGCTGAGCTCGTGCCACTAATCCACTGGCATGTATGCCTATTTCGTATTTGTGTGTAACTGATACATTTTACAACCCCGGGTTTTAGGAACACTGGACTGCTGAAATTGCTTTAAAAATAAGAACAAATTGAGGTAAAATTTCAAATGCGATAATTATGTTTTTTTAATCTTGAAAAAATATTTTAGTCTTATTTTTACATAGGCACAGTAGGT